ATGCGTCAGTGTTGGAACGTCAGGGTTGCGTCAGGGTTGGAACGTCAGGGTTGCTTTAGGGATGAGTCAGAGTTATAACGTCAGGGTTGCTTTAGGGTTGCGTCAGGGTTGGATCGTCCGCCCCGTGGGTAGGGGGTAGTAGAATACTCCCACAGTATTCCCTGCTTGTCGTAAGAGGCGACTAAWAGGGAGGGTATGAATRGTGTGTGCATGTTCTGTATGGCTATTTCTCTCTGTAATTCTTTCTATCCCTCTTTTTCTATTCTTTTCTTGTCTCTTACTTCCTTCGTTTTCCTTTCCATTCCTCTGGGCTTGTGCCTATTTATATCAAATAAAAAATATGAAAGGTACAATCTCAGAGAATAAACCGTGTGGGAGGGAAACTCACACGACGGCGGTGTTTGGTGATGGTAGGACAGGCCATCCATCGTCGACATCATACTACTGTCATGAGTCCAGGGTAGGCGACCCGGCCCTGACTCTGGATAATGTGTCGGGAAGTTGTTCGCGGGTAGGCAACCTGGCCTGTGGATCGACTAATGCTACAGGAAGTCGAGAACACTCCTTGGAGGAGGGGCCGAAGTGCACGGTAAGGTGCATTGAGAACTTGGAGACTGATGATATACAAGTCAGGACCCATAAAAGGGTGAGAGGGCAATTCTGTACACCTCATCATTGGAGGATGAGGTAGTTGACCTCACAAGGATGGATGGAGTTATTCCAGAGGGACCATCGGTTTCCAGTATGGAGACTGGAAGACTGTTTGATCTTATAATAGACAATGTGGCWGAGGCAGAAGTCAAAAGGAAGACTTGCGGCAACATCAAGGGTGAAATTTCGGGAAAAATAAAAACTTGCAATATGGAAATAATGAAGATAGCCAAGGAGCTGCAGGCTCGCAACAGGGTAAACTGTTGCTCTGAAATTCATGAATCTCTGGAGCAATTAAGGGCGGAGGCGAAAGCCACGAATAACCGGCTAAAGCAGGTGGAGGAGGAGTGTACGCGCCTTAGGCGGGAACTAAAACGTAAAGATATACTCCTTGAAAAAGTGTCAAAAGGGGATACTAGGGCAGCAACTGCAGCAACAAATCAGGTCCAATCTTTTGCAGAGGAGAGACTGGTTGCTGCCAGGAAGGAGGATGTGCATGACGACAAGACGATAGGGAGAGTTTTAAATGAGCTTTCAAAATCGGTGATTAAAATTCAACAAGAATTAAATGATATAAAAATGGGACAGAGCTCTTGTGCTCAGGTTGCAGCCCGGCCGCGGGTTGCTCCCTCACCGCCGATGCCAACGCCTCTGGCAACTGTCCTGAACGGGGATGGGTTTGTTGAGGTTAAAAAAGAAATAAAATTGCTGCGCCTGCTGGGGGGCCCTTATCTACACGGGCGGATGTTGGGAGGTTGGCCCTCCTGTTTATCCTAGTGTGGGGGGGGGGAGCCCTGCTGTGGGTGAACGGAAAAAGAAGAAGAAGACGAAGAAAAACAGAAGAATCAGGGAGACTGCAGCGGTATCTCTAACGTGTGCGGAAGGGGCTTCATATTTAGAAGCCCTTAAGAAATTGGAAACGGGGGTGAATCTAGAGGAAATAGGGGCAAAGGGGCTCTCATATAGGCGTGGCCTGACAGGGTCATTTATTTGGCAGGTCCAGGGAAAGGATGCTAACATGAAGGCTGACAAATTGGCGCAGGTCATGAAGAGAGCTCTACCGGAGGCCAAAATTGGAAGGCCTCAAAGGACTAGTCCCATCAGGTTAATGGGTATTTACCCAACTACCACCTTGACGGCGATTAGGTGTGGGTTACAGGAGGTTAGGGCGGGTTTTGACCCCAACCTAATTAATATGGGGAGTATCCATTTGGGCAGGGGTGGTCGTTATGAGGTCACAGTTGTGACCCCAACGGCATTGTGTCAGGCTGCCATTGACAAGGGTAATATCATTGTGGGGTGGAATAAAGTACGGGTATTTCCGAYTAGACCCAGGCCTCTAAGGTGTCACAGGTGTTTAGCGAGAGGTCATGTGGCTGCATCTTGTCCTGCATCGGGTGCCAGGATAGGTGTATGCTTTAAGTGCGGGGAACCGGGGCATGTGGCGAAAGATTGTGGGGACAAACCAAAATGCCCGATCTGTGTKGAGGCGGGGCGTTCCCGAACCTCGCACAGGGCTGGGTCCTGGGAGTGTCCGTTAGTGCCTCCTATTAAGGGGAGAGACGTAATTTTAGGGGGAGTCGCGGACCGACGGGACACGTCAGGGTGCGTGAAAAACGTTCCGGGTAGTGCGGGCGAGAAAACGATAGTACAGAGTGTTGTGAATAGCGTGAATTTGAATGCTTGCAACGACATGGAGGTGAAGCAGTTGAATTCTGCCCCTTCATGTGAGTAACTAATACGAAACTACAATGGCCACGGACATTCAGGCCAATTTAAATCATGCGCGTCGCGCCCAGGACTTGCTGGGCCAGCGGATGAGGGAGATTGGGGCGGATATTGCGATAGTCTTGGAGCCGTGGTGGGTTCCTCCCGGGGATGAGAACTGGTTCTCATCCCTGAGGGGGTCTCCCCTCTCTGCGATTGTTGCGGGCAAAGGCGAAAAACCTGTAGCCTGGTGCGTCGGGGTTTGTTTTTTGTAGCCGTCAAATGGGGAGACTCGTTGGTAGTTTCAGTCTACTTTCCTCCCAGCGAGAATTTAAATATTTTTGGTAGACTCCTTGATGAGCTCAAAGAGCTCTTAGGCACATTTCCCGCTCTTCCAGCGCTTATTGCCGGGGACTTTAATGCCCGGTTCCCTAAATGGGATCCGGAAGGCAGAAGCAATCCAAGGGGCGAGTTGCTCTGTATGTGGGCCAATAGGTTGAACCTAAGCCTGGGTAACCAGGCTGGCCACCCCACGTGCGTTCGACCGCAAGGGTCGAGCGTTGTAGACCTTACGTGGGGATCTCCGGCAGCTAGTGTCCGCTTATCGGATTGGAGGGKGGATGAGGCTGAGTCCCTTTCGGACCATTTATATATTATATTTAAGTACAGGCATGAGGCTACAGGCTACCGAAGCCTTCGCTCCATGGACAGAATTTTCCCTAAGTGGGATACGAGGACTGTGGATGAGGACAGGCTCGCTGCAGCCCTCGTCTCTGGTGAGTGGACACGGGATGATGGTGATAATATGTGGGACATGATGAAATGGGCGGACAATACCCTCCTCAYTTCATGTGACATTTCTATGTCAAGGGTGATAACGGTGGTGAACTGGTGTTCTGTTGTACCATGGTGGTCACGGGAAATAGTGGTCCTACGGGGAGCGGCTACGGCGGCGAGAAGGTGTTATCTGAGGGCCAGGCGAGGAGGTGATCTGGACAGAATTAAAGCATGTCTAGAGGACAGGAGGGAGAAGAGGAGGAATCTGGTCCGGGCCATCAGAAGGGCCAAGGCCTTGGCCTGAAAGGACTTTTTAGCCACCATAGAGGATGATCCATAAGGGAAACCCTATAAACTTGTAATGGGGAAATTAAGGGCTCGAGGTGTTCCCCCTCTGACTGAGGTACTGGATCCTCCTCTTTTGATGAGGATAGTTGAAACGCTGTTTCCGGGAGGCGGGCGATCAGTTGCCCTAATCGTCAACGTGGTGGACCCGGAGGAAATAGTCGTCACGGTTGAAGAGGTAAATAGGGCCGCTAAAAGGATTAACCTTGGGAGGGCACCGGGTCCTGACGGGATCCCTGGACTGGTGGTGAAGAGGGCGGCCATATACTGTGGTCGAGGCCTTGCGGAATGCTTTACCATGCTGCTGAGGAGGGAGTCTTCCACGGGCATGGAAGAGAGCCAAGCTCGTGTTGCTAAAGAAAAAGAAAGTTGGTGATGGTAACTTGCCAAGCTCATACAGGCCAATATGCCTACTGGACGAGGTGGGGAAGTTGTTGTCTCCAGGGTGAGCGAGTTTTTAAATACTCAAAGTGTTCTTTCGACGTGTCAGCATGGTTTCAGAGTGGGTTACTCTACCCTTGGAACCATCGGAGAAGTAAAAAATTACATACAGGAGTGCGCGAATAGTGGACGAGTGGGCGTTTTAATCTCATTGGATATTAGTAACGCGTTCAACTCGCTCCCCTGCGATATAGTGATAGCATCGATGGAGGGAAGTGGCTTCCCCACCTATTTGATTAACATTATCAAAGATTATTTTCGTGACAGGCTCTTGTCCTTCATAGAAAGGCAGGGCATAATTAATAATGTAAGCGTGATGTGTGGGGTCCCACAGGGTTCCGTCCTCGGCCCCACACTTTGGAACATTGCGTACGATCGGGTCCTCCGAGTCCCGCTGCCGGGAGGGTCTCGTGTGGTCTGCTATGCAGATGACACGGTCCTCCTTTCAGCAGGACGGGATCTGTCTTGCGCATTGTTAGCGGCTGAACGAGACCTAGAGGTCATTGTGAATGAGATTGAGGGATTGGGCCTGAAAGTGGCGCTGCAGAAAACGGAGGCAATGGCCTTCCCTGCCTCTGCCTTATGCAGACGCAGGATTGCTCCCCCCCATGTGATTAGATACAATGGGGTTTGTATTGCAGTGAAGCCCAGTGTGAAATACCTGGGCATTGTTTTAGATTCAAATATGTCATTTAGGCCCCACTTCCAGGCCTTAATCCCGAGAGTGCAAGGGATCCTTCGGTCTATTGGGAGGATCCTTCCGAACCTCCATGGGCCAAGGGAGAAGAAGCGGCGTCTCTACAGCAGCGTGATCCACTCCGTGCTCCTCTATGGTGCTCCGGTGTGGTRGCGCGCTGTTGTGGAGGATCAGAGGATCAGGCGGGCTGTTCGGGCCTTGCARAGAAAGGTGGCGATCAGGGTGTGTTGCGCCTATAGGACGGTATGCTTCCATGCGGCAATGATGGATTATTCCCCTCAATCATCTGGCGCCGCGACTGGCGGAGGTTTATGTGACACTTAGGGAGGCGGAGGGACCTGTCCCTCTAAATATTAGGGCGGTGCTGGGCGCTTTCGCCAGGATGGGGGCGATTGCTGCATGGAGGGAAGAAGAATTGGGACTAATTGGTGTAACGGGGGAAACGGGGGCGCGGGTTAGGGCAGCTATTGCTGACAGGTTAGATGAGTGGGTTGGGAGGCCGTACTCTATAGGTACGACCTTCCACACCACTCAGCTGATGACTGGCTATGGCTGCTTTCCTGCGTACCTACGCGGTATCAGGAGGACGGACTCCCCGCGGTGCTATCACTGCGGCGCGGGTAGAGACGACGCGGAACACACCCTGATTGAATGCCCGGCGTGGACGAATGCTAGGGATTCCTTGGTCAGGGAGTTAGGGGGGGGTGCAGCCCACCCTCCCCGGGATATTCAGGCAGTCCCTGGATACCTCGGGGGCGTGGGCTGCATTCCAGTCCTTTTCAGGACTTGTAATGAAGGCCAAAGAAGATGCTGAAAGGGAGAGAGAACGTACATTTCTCAATAGGAGAAGAATGAATGCGAGGCCGCAAAGGAGAATAGCTCCTAGGCGGCCCTCCTGGGCGAGGTTTCGGGCAGCCTTGGCGGCGCCTGACCTGGTCTAGTGCGTCGCTTCCCCTAAGAAGAATGAGCATGCAGATGCATGGGATGTGTGAACCCGACCAGTGCATCCTGGGATGGATGGTCGGGTATGTACATATACATATGTAGAATAAGTTGTAGTAATTAGTTAGTTACTTAGTTTATTAGTTAATTAGTTCTTTCGTAAGGTATGAGTGTTGTGTATGAATGAGGATGAGAGCATGGCGAACCGACCAGGCTCATCGGGATGGGAGAGTAAGTGTGTATGTATTGTGTTTTTATCACAGATCCGCTTCTCCCATCCAGCGAGTGAATGTTTTGCACCAGGTGGGTTCCCCCTGACGAAAAAAAAAAAAAAAAAGGGTTGGATCGT